TCATTATTGCGCATGTAAAGAAGTATCCGCTGATAAGAACTAAAATCCGTTCGCGGGCATTAGACCAAACGTTCATCTATTCATATAATCCACCTGCGTTAATCGGCGTTTTCAGGGAGCATATAACTCCAAAAACGAAAAAGGCTTTTGCACTTCTTCTATGTTGCTTAGCTGCAAAAGCAATTTTTGGACCTAGTGAATTATTCTGTCCGGCTTCGGGGTAATCGACATTCAGGCAAAACCTTGATTGTGGTTTCGTTTTCTTTTGCTTCCGTGTGTTGTTTGATTTGTTGGAACCTTCTTCTCTGCCGGACATGTATACTATTACATCCCACGATGTCGTGAGTCTTTCCTGCGATGGTCACACTTATCTATGATCGTGGTTCCGTGTCTGACTCCTTTCGTTTTCAACTTCTGGTGGAACTGTCTCTTTAAATTCGTAATGAAAAGTGTCTCGAGGTCCGAACTTTACCTCGTAGATGCATTATAATTTACCCATGGCGTCGACTGGGAGTGCTTGTTTATATGCATCAAGCAGTGTCTGATGTTGGTGGACTACTTTAAAGTCTGGGCGTTCAGGTATGTTGTCGTCCTACCGTGTGTGAGGGGGTTGCTCTTGTTGGCGATCGTGCCAGGAATCCGAATCCAAACTACGTTCGAATACACAATTTATGCAGACTATTTGTCTGACAACACTACACTGGAATTAGTGCTTTTAGGGTTTGCCTTTCTGTCTCCCTAGGAAGAGTCTCGAGCTTAAGGCTCTACCTAGCTAGGTAGATGTTCCACTTTCAACTGCTACTAACCTCACACTTGCTCGCGGATAGCCCTTGCAGCTAGTTCTCAACTAGTTTTGTATTTTTATCTATTCGTGTCAGTAACCTTTGAGGCACAATCTGCCCAGTGGCCCCCTCGACTAGTTGGCACCAGACTCCGTATTGACGTATGCAGACTGCCCATTAAGACCACTAACCGCATGCAAGATCGCAAATCTGACCGGCTAATGCAGGCCTAGACAAAAAATAGTACAATGCTATGAGGGACAGTAGCTGGTAACAGTCTGCCCGCCTGGTCTTTTTCCTGGAACCATTAGTGAAGAATTACATAATTGAGGTCTGGTCAGGGTTTAGCACACTCCCCAGACTTCTCCGTTCTATTTATCGTGCTGTTGACCAACCTTAACCTCTTTTACCGTACCGCATTTGAGAACTCTGCTTTCGCGTCTCTATGAGAAAATCCCTTCAGGCACTATGAGCTAGTCGCAAACGTTTTTCTATACATAAACCCAAAGTCGAGGTTAACTGATTGCGCTGAGGGCCAAGTGATACTTGCATCACAAATTGTCGTGTTAGATTGTGATGTGGGGAGGGAAAAACAGTTAGAGGGAGAAACGGAATGCGTTATCTCTAGCAGGTTCGCCTTACAAGGTTTGATAGCTGATTGCGACGGGCCCGTCCGCAAATGAAACCCTACTCTACCGCACTCTATTTACAGGTTTAATCGATTTTCGGTTTCGCAGAAAAAAATTGCTTGCCTATTCGAACAGTGTATTCAAAGTTTCGGCACAGTGGTATGTTGGCTTTTGCACAGTCGGTCATAAAAACCAGACGACCGAGTGCGTACAGGAGTTCACGGTCTGAGATGACAGCGACAGAGCAAGTGACCGTTACATGATCAACAACCAATCAGTGGCGGGTGCCATAGGAGATAGCAGCTCAGAGCTCTGCATGCAGCCGCAGAATCAACGTACCTGTCTAACAAGTTATCTGCGAACCGGGCTTCAGTGCACTCTCATCTCGCCTTGTTCCCGGCGTGTGCAATTATCTTGGCATCAACGAAATTGCAATCGCTACCCGATTCGAAGGTGTGTGCAGATATTTGTAAAAGTTCTTCGTCTCCTCACACAACCAGCTTGTGCTCGTGTATGCGCGGTCTGAGCTTGCACTCGGTCTCACCTGTATAATTACAAGGATAAGTTAAACAATGCTTTTAATACACTAAGCCAAATTGCTCGCTGAAGTTTATTCGGTCGTAGATTTTCACTGTGCGTGGTGGATTTCGACCGATTTACACATCCAACACCTCCTGCAGAAATTCTCTCGGTCTCTTCAGAAGCGTCCTACATATATGACAGAGCGTGCTATTTTGTCCGCTGGCCTTCTGCCTGGGTTCTTCGGCGTATAAGTACTTTCGCATAGTCATTTCTCGCCGATCAATTGCAGACAGGATGGGCCTCGCGTGCCTTGTCTTCCGGGATTGTTTCAGTGAATCATTGTCCATTTGAAGAGAGTCCTGGAAGATTCGTTTACAAGCCGCCGGATGCTTGTTAAAAAAACTGAAAAGTTGCATGGGGATTGTCACCTTTCTGCGAGCCACTGTCTCATTCTCACCATCAGGACTGCCTGACAGACACATCGAGGTAAGGCGGCCGTCGCTAACTTTATTCGTCGTCGGTGGATTATATATCTGTGCCTAGAGGTGGTACCGACAAAGACAAGGGGGACCGGAATGGCAATTTCTGACTTGTTAGTCTTAACCAACCAGTCATACCTAACCCCCGACATGGAACACCCGATCGAAAAACCGACAGGACAACGAACTCGTGGCCCAGGGGTTAGAGGCGTGGACTTCTAACAAACAGATCGCCAGTTCGAGCCTCGGGTGTTCCACACTTCGAGGTTGGGTATGACTGGCTGTTGACGGCTAATAAGCCAGAAATGACCATTCCAGTCTCCCTTGTCTTTGTCGGTAATATCATTCTGCATATATATACCATTATATAAGTACACATAAGTAAGAAACTGCGCTTAATGCACTAAGGAAATCCTAAAGTATGCCCTGCCTGACAGTGGCAAAAGTGAAAGACCTAACGGAACCAGAAGAGCATGCCATGCGGGCTGCAGACAGTCTTTGCTATTCCCGTTGGACCATATCTGCACTAAGACCAATATCGGAGAGCTCGTGGGAGTTCCTTTGCACTGTTCATAGGTTCCTTCTCAGAATTTGGAGTCCGTAGGCAAAATCCGAGCACTCGCAAGGTGATCGGTCTTCGGAGGTCTCCAGGTTTCGCCTTATGAACTGCAGTCTTTTGCGCCAAATCCCAGTGAGTATGCGTGAACAATGACATCAGTTTGAAGAAGACTAATTTCATCCTGTTGAATCCTCCGACCTCGATATTCTAGAAAGATTTCGGAGGTCATCCCGATCAGGGTAATCGAATTGTCCCGGAGAAACTTCAGTGTGAGGTACATGCATCTGCAGTTGTACGTAGGGCTGCCTTCTAACGCGACTATTATTCGTAGTAGAACACTCGGTTCGCTGGTCTTTGGTCGACCATAAATCGAACCAGAGCAGTGTTTCGGTCTTATTTGGCGCCATCCTTCGCAATGACATCTGTGCGTTGTAATTACTCAAACAGTTTATTTCTTCGCTGTTGTCATCTCTGACCATGCACTCAAGTATAGGTTCCAATGCTCGTGTCTCTACTAGCCTTTTCAGTTCATATCCGGACATTTTCTACTGTTAAGTTTGCCACTTGGGTCTCATAGAACCCCCTACCAAAGTAGGGGTGCATCTTTAAAAAAGACGTACTTTGATACCTCTGATGGCTAAATTTATTTGGCAATTTTGTTTATGTAGAGTAATCGATACTGTAAGTCTACAGCCGGATGCTAGCTTGATTGGAATCATCCATCCGGCACTCGGGTGCGAGTTCGACACTGCCAAGACCAAGTACCTCCTCACAGAATCCAAACGTATAACCTGTAGAACGTGACGTAGATTGTCTTTGTAGAATAGCCGAACAGAATTCGGACTGTTGCGAAAGGCTAGTATGAAGCAGAGCGTCATCCTTATCACCACAGCAATTTTGGACAGCGTGCGATTGAACTTCATGCGCACTCGAGGTAATAACGGAACCCAAGCCTCCACGTCGACGTGTGGATCTCAGTCTCCTGGATCATCACTAGTGAAGTTTTACAGTGAAGCTAGGGAAAATGCACTTTCCTTAGTGCTGTGGCGACACCACTAGAGCTACTTAATGCTATTTTAGCTATTTATGTAACGTGTGGTTACAGTCGGTCCTTACTTGAACCCGCTCGTTTTTCTATCATTTTACAGAGGACGTATTTCGTAATCGTTGCGAGGTAATTAAATTAAACTTTCCGATACTTGCAGTAAATTCTGACCACAAAAACACTTTGTCATTCTCCCACATATTTCGTGTTTTACAGAAGTATATCACGGAGCTTGTGCAGATGTTCCTTTGTTCTTCAGGAGCCTGAAAAATGGCGTTTCCGGGTTTCTACTGCTGTATAGTACAAACAGGCGTGGTGACTCTGTTTCATGTTCCCCACCATTTCTGAATGCTCAAAGAGAGGTGGGAGGCATTTTCACGTCGATCATATTCTAGCGGAGCTGTGACTTAACGTTATCGAACGAGAAGAAAGAAGCCCGCCGCCAAATATCTTCTCTATTGTGTTCCGTCGAATTCGCCGGACATTTTTTTTTCTGGGGGGGGGGATGTAGAGGTTGGGTCAACCGATGGTCAGAATAACAACCCAAAACCCGCAGTCATTCTCGAAAGAACAACCCCAAAAGACTCGAAATCCATATTTATGATTTCCTCGTGGTCACTGTCTCTCTTTTTTCCCATTGTCTTTCTCTTTTTTGCTGTTTTTGCCTCAGTCAGCATGAACATACTACAGGCTCAAAGTATGGAGGCCCAGCAAAGACTAATGGAGAATGGACCGGATGCTAGGCGAATGCGAAAGGCGATTTTCCGGCGCACTATTGACTACAACGCAGCTGTAATAGCCTACCTCAAAGATCGGATCTGGCAGCGGACCACTCGAAAACGGCCGGCCATACAACCAGATTATCTGTACAACTTTTTAGTAGTCTTTGTTTTTCCCTTAA